TCAGGAAAGGGGCTGCAAACTTCATCCCTTCAACATCCTGAACAGGGTACTCACAATCTGACACCATAATGTCACCAGGAACCATTGCCTGCAACATCACTCGTGCTTTATCTCAGTGCTGCCACAGAGGAATGGCTATCCTTCTTGCTGCTTCTTCTACCTGCTCTAACTCCTCCTCTGTTTCAGAACTCCCCTCTTTCACTCTTTCACTTTCCCTTGCAGGCTTCTGCATTGGCCCTGCACAGCTCAGCAGTTCTGCTTTTTCATCAAGAAATGGGAGTCATTTAGTGTTGATTTGGAAAAGATCCCTTCATTCACGTAGAGATCGTCCATTAATGATCCTTCCAAAAGTTCTTCAAAGAGAAAAACATGTTCACACGATGGTCTCTGTGTGCCGTTAGGTTCATCCACAGGAGAGACTAAATCCAAGTCTTCCAGGCTGTGATCAAAGATGGCGAGGTCCAGACCACCTGCCCACACCGAACTCGTCTGATCTTGGTTGAGGACCTGGTGGTCAGCAAATCCTTGAGAATTCCAAGTGCCATCCAGTTCACCACAACCTGCTTTGCTTGCAAGTTCCCCACCGACGAGATCTGGAACGATCCCGTCTGTAAACAGAGGCAGACCCAAGCTTTTCCTGTACACCTCTGAGATGATCCTCTCCTCCACCAGCCCATCCAGTAACGTCTGGACCTCAGCCGGAGATGCCCAGGCCAGAACAGACCTCACCTGGTTTAGAACCTCGGAGAACTGAGCCATTATGTCGACGAGTCCTACCGAGGCAACAACCTCCTGCTTAGGAGACGAGAACAAATCGGTTTAAACTATAAAGCTTTAAAAGGACACTTTGATTTTGATCAGGAGGCATTTTTTTATTGAGGAAGGAGGTAGTTTGTGGCTAAGAGGAGGCCTGGTTTAAAAACAGTGGAACTGTAAATGAAAAATACATGAAGTGGAAACATCAACACCATTGTTTTATTAAGAGGAAGTTTCATGATTGTAGCGAAAGGAAATCTACAAGGCGGCATCGTTTCTGCTTTAAAAAACACTAAATATGATGCTATTACCTGACTCAGGGACGTTTAATAAGAAAAAGAGATTAAGTTTCATGAATAAAACCCTTCAGACTCCTCTCGCCGGGAGCATATTTAGGTATAAATAGCATTTATTTACACAGAAACACGTATGACAACACGACAATTCTGCGCTTGCAAAATGAATGTAGAAACGAGTCACTTAAGCTAATCGGTCAGTGTGTTGTAGGAACTGTTTGACAGATATAAAGTGGTTTGGCAAAACAATAAATACCAACATGCCATGCCAAGAACTTCTCATGCATTGCCTGTTTCATAACAAACCACACCTGCAGGTTACCAGCAAAGTTAACCACAGAAAAGCCAGCAGGCTGCAAAACTCCTGAGCGAGGTTTTCTGATTATTCTCGGAGTCGATTCGGTTCTTGGGAAAGAAATCTTATAGGCTAGCCTAGAAATCTAGACTGACGTTAGCTGAGGCAAAAAGATATTGCTCTGCATGTTGGTCTAGCCACGCTCCGTAGGAGCCTTAGCAGGTCTACCACTGGTATAAGCAGTTTTGTTTTATGCCAATCACAGCGCTCTATTGGTTTGGCAAGCCAATCGGAGCAACTAGGATGGCCGCAGCTTGTGTGAAACCAACTAATTCTCACACCCTAAGCGTCGAAAAATGACGCGGAGTGACCAAGCGTTTGTTTCCGACGTGTAGGGAGCCCCTGCGCATCAGAAGGCAACGAGCTGTGCCAGAGCATCGGTATCCAACACCCGCGGTAAAACGGAGTTTTCACTGACATTTCACCCCTAACCTCTAGTGATTTAACCGTCCCCTCACCCCCATCCTAACCATAACCCAGTGTGTCGGTCTAAATTTTCCGTTAAGCGTGTTTGAGAGGAACGATGAAATGTGAAACAAAGCTTTGCATGCGCAAGCTGGTTAAGGTTAGGATGGGGGTGAGGAGAAGGTGAAATAGCAAGAGAAGAAGAAAATATCATTTCTATAGCGCCTCTCAAGATAAAAAATCACGAGGTGCTTCACAAAAACAAAAAAATGTAAAAATATAAAAAAGCATTTAGAAAATGTTTAAAAATATATTTAAAATGAGTAAAAAGAGACAATTGTGATAAACAAAATGTTAAGAAAGAGAGAGTGAAAAGGAAAGAGGGAAATCAGTGGATCCTGAGGAAGGTGGAATAGGTGGGGAGAGCAGAATAAAGAGAGAGTGGTGAAGAAGGTCATCCAAAAGCCGGCTTGAACAAGTGAGTCTTCAGCTGCTTTTTAAAGGAGACCACTGAGTCCACTGATCTCAGGCTCAGGGGGAGAGAGTTCCAGAGTCTGGGGGCCACAGCAGCAAATGATCTGTCACCTTTGGTCTTTAGCCTGGTGCTGCACAACCAGTAGGCTTTGATCACTGGGCCTCAGGGACCTGCTGGGGGTGTAGGGACTAAGAAGATCACCAATGTAAGGTGGTGCTTGTCCATGTAAGGCCCTAAAGACCAGAACCAGGATCTTGAAATGAACCCTGAAGTTGACTGGCAGCCAGTGAAGCTGGAGGAGAAGCGGGGTGATGTGGGTGTGTTTGGAGGACTTGGTCAGAAGCCGAGCACAGGCGTTCTGAACCACCTGTAGACGGTTCAGGGAGGTTCTGCTCAGACACGTGAAAAGAGAGTTACAGTAGTCTAAGTGTGAGGAGATGAAGGTGTGGAGAACAGTCTCAAGTTCAGAGCGGGACAGAATGGGACTCAGCTTAGCAACGTTCCTGAGATGGAAGAAGGAAGAGCGAACAAGAGAACTGTCATGAGAATCCAGGGTGAGAGCTGGGTCAAAGGTCACACCAAGATTCCTGACGGAAGGTTTGGTGTGAGAACACTGACAACATTTGCATTTCAAAACAAGAAATCTAATCACGTTAGCTTGTTCATTGAAGCCAAGGAATGATTACAAAATGAAAAGATTTTTAAATTACCGGCAATGCTCGATAAGTTGAAGCACCAAACAACCATCAACAACCAACCAAACAAAAATCAGAACAACCTGTTTTTGAGATATTCCCATTCTAGCTCTGTGCATTGTTCTGTAAACAGCTGCCTTCAATCAGTCCTAAACATAGTTTCAAACTCCAAACGTGATCGATATCACCAGCTGGTGTTTATAAATCCTGCTTGAACATTTTGGTGAAACTCCTATTTGCAGCAGTGTTTACAAACATCAAATATATATCAACAGAGCCAGAGGTGTGCACTCGAGTCACATGGCTTGGACTCGAGTCATTATTTTAATGACTTCTAACTTGATAAAATCTATAAAGACTTACGACTTGAATCGACATGCATCTGTTGACTTGAGAATATTTGATATTTAAGTGGCACTACATGGACAAAAATTATGAATCATTCTTCGTTCTGGGTTTGATCTTGCACTGCTGATTGCAGCAGCACTTTGTTTATAATCAGTTGCACTTTCTGCTTGTTTGAGCAAATAAATGAAGCTTTAAGAAGCTTTATTTCTGTAATGTATTTATTATCATTGCCATTAAATTGAAGTTGGACAGATGACTTGATTATGACTTGAAAATTCAAGTTAAGGACTTGACTTGAACTTCCACATCATTGACTTTGGACTCGACTTGGACTTGACTCGAGACTTGACTGGAAAGACATGTGACTTACTTGTGACTTGCAAAGCAGTTGTAGCACTTGGTAAAGTGTACAGATAAAATGTCTGAAACATTGCATAAACCTGTTGAGAGTTGAAAAGTAAGTCAGCTACGTTTGTTTCTGGTTAAGCTGTTACACATTTTCACCAGTAGAGGGCAGTTACAGTTTAGAAAGGAATGAAAAAAAAGAAGAAAAAAAGGCAAAAACATGCTTGGATCTGTATGACAATGGCATGGTTCTGAGGTCCCCAATAAAACCCGGTTTTTCTACACCAAGTTGTCCTGGAGTGGTGTAACACAGTGACTTGGTCACACCTATGAACAGAGCATTCGCAAACACCAACTGTTGTTTAAAACAGAGTTTATAAAGTAGACCGGGGATATGTGGCACCTGTTTACCACAATAATGAGAACTCGAATGCCTTCTCTGCATCAGTCTAGGTACATCTGCAGATGCACACACATGCTCTGAGATTGGCAACTGTTCACAAGTGGATGTCTAACGCTAATGCTAATGGCTAAAACTGAGTGGTGTTCAGTTCAAATTGCATGGTGGTGGTGGTGGTGGGGGCTTAGCAAAATAAACTAAATTTAAGTACTCTCTACATTATACATAGAAAATTATACATGAATCCTGAAAAGTGGAAAAGTCTAGATTGCTGCTTTAAAGTGACTTTTGGACATGGCTCCAAATGAGCTCTCCTGCTAAACAGCACCGTGCATCTTATATGAATTTTTTGAAGAACAAATTAAAGAGAAAATGTGTATTCTTTACTGTTCATTTTTGGAAATATCCATTGAAATGTTGAGGAAAATAAATGAAATGATGCCCAGTTATTGAAAAATATTGGCGGCTTCATTAAAATTGGGTCTAAAATACATGGGAGCGGGTCTAAGTCTCTGGGCAACGCCATAATAGATGCCATGTTCCCATCTACGGGAGCCCGTGAAGACAAAAAGCATTTACTGATTTGTAACAAATGGTTACAAAACTTTTGCCATTCATAAACGTTGTCGTTTTACACATTTACCTCTTCACTCGTTGCCAGTGACGAACAGGAGTCTGATGTGCTTGTGATGTTGTTGAGGGTTGCACTCCCAAGGATTTTTGACCCTAATGGCTATCCATTGGTAAGGTCCCCCCCCCCCCCCCCCCCCCCAAAAAAAACACTGCTTGCTTGCAGTGATTTAGGTATGTACTGCCCCTTATCGCAAGAGGAAATACACACGGTCACTTAAGAACCAGCTCTTGCACCAGCCCTGGTCCAAGCACTGGAACCTCTTTTGCTAAACAAACACTTTACAAGAAAGAATTTCTTAGACGCTCATTTAATTATAATTTCCAAGAAAAAATAAAACAAGTTGCCAATATTTTAATCATTAACACTGGGAAAAAGAACAATATCCAAAACAGACACTATTCAGTGCAATAAAAGGTTGAATTTAGACCATACGTGTTGTAAAAAAAAAACTCAATTCCTTCTCAAAAAGCAAACATTTTACCACTTGGGACTACCATGCTTTTGTCTCCATTTTCAGGTCCAACTCGATGGAGGTCAGGTTGCACTCTGCACCTCCGTCGCTCTGTTCAAACAGTAGTCCTGAATACCTGATAAAGGAGAAAGACCAACATGTGACAGTGATGACAAAGACACTAAACTATCATGAACAGAAACGTCTAAACCTTTGTTTGATGTCATGTCTGATGCAAAGGGTTTTTTTTATATTTGAGATGTCTTCTTCCCCTTTAGCTGACTGCTTCCCATTAAATAAATGAACACTTCTTCTTTCAGTACATTTAATCAGGAATCGGGCCACCTAAAATATCTAGTCATCAGAAATAATAAGGGACTTCACTGGAAAGACGAATACGAACACACCACTGCATAAGAATCTGCAACCTTTGACTCACTTTGTACAACGTTCTGGTAGACCTTGGCAGCAGGAGAGTCAGGCACTTGGTTGAGAAAAGACTTGCCCTCATCGCAGCTCTGCGCTATCCTTGGGTCTAATGGCACTTTGCCTAATAGAGGCAGATTCAGGTCTCTGCACATTTTCTCAGCACCCCCGCTGGAGGGTGGAAAGATCTGTGATGTATTCTATAAATAAAGGAAAAAAGAAAACACATTTAGTTATTGTGCATTTGTGCACCACCAACAGAAATGTTTAAGACTGCACGTGTCTACAACACCAACTGCTTTACCTTTTATAGCTTTAACAGAGGAAGCAAAACTTGCAAAGAATGCCAAATGAGAGGTCTCACCGTATTTTTTAAATAATATAATTATTCAGTAGCTTGGTACACTCAGTGCGGTTACATGGCTTTTCTGTTCCGTTTCCCTTGGCTATGCGGGTTTCTCAGCAATTAGCGTAAGTTTTTACAAGTTAGGCAATTTGAAATCTGCACATGACTTATTTAGAAAGTTTCCAGATGTTTAACATCGCTTTCATGTTTGACTTCCTGTCTGGATTGATCTGAACCAATGTGCTGGAAGTGTAGCGCATAAAAAACGACTGAAAACATAATCCAAGCGTCCCTTCGCTTCTGGGACGTGTCCAAAACGTGTCACCTCACGCTGGTGGAAAGGTCCACAATGACGGCGGCTAATTGCTGTGAGGTACATATCGCGGCGGTTTCACATTTTCACGTCTGGTGGAAAGTAGGGACTACTGGAGCTACGGCAATAATCGAGCTGATACCTTAACCAGAGTGGGAGCTTTCATCCGGTTTACATCTCCATAAGAAAATCTAATTATTGAATGAAGTGTGTTTTACTGAGTGATGGTAGGCAGTGTTTTCCTTAGATTTACCAGCAATGGCGTGTGTGTGGGTGGTGGGGGGGGGGGACACTCCTTTTTCTAACCACATTATCTAGATACCTTATCCCGATTAGGAGTACTCCCTTTTGGTTCGACTTCAGCTGCACTAAGGTGTTAACGTGCATTTTAAATCAGTCGGTCTAAGGTAATAATTCAGGTTTGTAAACACACTGACTGTTTAGCCCATCAGTAAAGAACAAATGGATCATCTTAGGATAAACGGTAACCTTACTTATATGTGTTTAAGCAAATAAGATTGGTTTGAACTGACTGACATTGGTCTTTCACACCAGTCTCATTTTAACAGAAACTTGGCAGCATAATGATTCTGACTGTAAACCAGCTGGACCGGCTTAGATCCATGCACACAGATAGGCAGAGTTCCAGTAATTAAGTTCTGCCACTAACACACACACACACACACGCACACACACACACACACGCACACACACACAAGCACGCACACACACACCACGCCGACTGCCTAAAAGCAGCAAGCTTCCTAGACTGGACCTTTTGTCTCCACCTCCTTCACCAGAGGACAGAGAGTGAAGACAAGAAGGTTTTTACAGGAGGCGAGGGGCCCTGAGTCGTATCATTTCATTTTGGCTTGTGATTGGCCGAGGCTCAACTGCAGTGCAGCCACATCACGAATCCCGACCTTAGTCAAAAATCACTGCTTAGGGTTAAGGCAATGACTGATTCAAACTCAAATGAAGTGCAGACTTCTAAGCTGAAGAGGGCCCTACAATGATACAATGATGGTTTCATTTTTAAATATGATGCAATAAAATGTCCAAAACAGGACTACACATGTCTACAGCACTCCTAGACACACATTTATAGTTTATCTGCAAAAAAAATATTTATTTGGGGGTGACTTGATCTTTAAAGGCAAACTAACTAACATTCTCCTATTTTTAATTCTCACCTTGAGCCAAAAGGTTCAAAAATGACATTTTCCAGAGTGCACGAATTATCTCTCAACACCCTCCACTCCTTGTGGGCAGAAGACAGCGTTTACAACTTGAAACACGTCGCTCGGGCACCTGGTTAGGATGCCTCCTGGACGCCCAAGAGAAGGCCCAGGACACGCTGGAGGGTCTATTCTCTCAGCTGGCCAGGGAACGCTTTGGGATTCCCCCGGAGGAGCTGGCCCAGGTGGCTGGGGAGAGGGAAGTCTGGGCCCTCTGCTTCAGCTGCTGCCGACCCGACCCCGGATAAGCAGAAGACAATGGATGGGTGGATGTCTACCATGGCAATTCCTTTTACTATTTGGATAATGTGACGAACAAAGGGTGCCTTTTTACTGAATTGAAGGGAATCTAGTGTGTTAATCGTAATTTATATAAGAAATTGATTAAATCCAATATGTATTTAGTTTGTTGGTTACAACTGCACGCTACACAAGAAAATCCAAGCATTAAACTGAGGCCTAGTCCACACGTAGCCGGTTTTTTAAAAACGAATATCCGCCCCTCCAAAACCTTGCATCCACACCACCTCGTTTAAAAAAAACACTCTGTCCACACGTACCCGGATAAATACGTTGTTATGGACATGCCAGACCTGTAGGCGGCAGTACTTCCCCCGTTCTTAACCTCGTCCTTCGTCTGTGGTCTTCCGCAAGGAGCAGTCATTCCGCTTGCAAAAACAAACAAGCAAAAAGCGCTTGGACAATTGATAAAGCGAGCGCAGCTCTGAGGGCATCCATGCTGTCGGCTAGTGTAAACACAGGTCGCACATGTGATGTCAGCATTTTTTTTGTCGCGGAAGTGACGTTGCGGACCTTAAAACTCCGGTTTTGTCCGTCCACACGCAGACACCCAAAACGGAGAAAACGCAGATCTTCACTTTGGCCGGAGTTTTTAAAAAGATCCGTTTTCGTGTGGATGACAGGCCAAAACGTAGAAAAATATCTACGTGTGGACAGGGCCTGACGCTCGAAAGTAAAAAAAAAGAGTCATCTGCAAAGTGTTGGGAATGAAATAAACCGAACTTCCAAACATCATTGTAGGTATTGTTAAGATTATTCTCTGTAACAAGCCTTAAAAGTAACGCTGAAAATGAGGAAAACCGGGGATCGTAGTTCTTTAATACACGTCAACTAGATATGATTGAAAAAAATCAAGTTTTTTAAAACAAACACAACAGAATCTAAAACTAAAGAAAAAAAACTGTAAAATTACAGAAGGAAGCGCGGAGCAAGTTGGTCTGCACTCTGCAGCAGTTCGACTTGCATCGTTCCTCTTTTCTGTGCTCGTTTGACTAAACTGGTCAGAGAAATGTCTGTGTTGCCTCACACATTCACCACATTAGACAGTTTAATATGACTGAGCTCTACTTCTCTCCCTGCATGCAGATCTGGAAAGCTAAAATTTGAGTACGTCAATAACCTTGCACTTTGGACAGACAAAGCCGCTCATGTTCTCCACCACGCCGATGATCGGCAGCTTAACCTTTTGACAGAAGCGGATTTCCTTTCTCACGTCCTGCAGCGACACCTCCTACAAATTAAAGAGGCCAGAAAAGAAAACGTTGGACAAAAAGGCAAAATGAAAATGACATTTCTTGTCAAGATTTACACATTCCAACATAATATATATATAATAATATACGTAAATAAACTAAAGATTTGCATTTTAGCAACAGTCATTAAGATGTTTTGAGATGATAGATTTAGGTTAACTGGCTGGTTATGGTTGGGCAATAATCCACCGAAGCAGGAAGTGTTTTGGCTAAATCTGAGCCAAAAATAAACACCAGGAAACATTTTATTAACCTTTTTTAATGCGAAATGGGAACAGACTCAGGGGTGAATTTATGAGACTAAATGCAGCTTTACTTGGTTTAATCTGGAATACGGACACTGCTCGTACAACTCACAGCGGATTGGTGTCTACAGGGTTGCCTTCAGAAAGTTCTCAAAGAAGAAGCCGGACGGGGGACACCAAACCAAAACTAAAAGCTGTCAAAAACGTTTTGGGTTGTAAGAAGATTTATTTGACCGTTTTCATTTGCTTTAACATAAGAAGCTATGATAATATACAACAAGTCCATCTCCATCCCCGCTTGAACCAGCTGAGACATTTAAATACTTGTTTGGTTGGATACTGATAATTCCTTTAAAACTAGTGAACCATCTATAACGAAGAACCTTAATTTACATCTAAAAACATGATATCAATGAATTAATAGTTTCACTCTCCATGTCAGGAAAATAATTGTTTCCCAGCTGCTCCTACCAATCCTGGATTATGACGATATTACAAATCAGGACACTACTGGGACCCGTCTTCACTCCCAAGGCGTGGTTTACGAGACAGGACGTCTCATGGGGTTACTGCTCTTTAAATAAATGTCAACTCGATAAATAAATATTTTTATGTTTTCAGATTTTTCACATATATACTATTAGGATTATTGACTGTCTAACATGAGCAGTTATGAATAAAAAGAGGAAACACATTTTAGGAAGTGTAAATTAAGACAGAAAACATTTAAAGGTGGAAAGTCCCTTTATAAGTTGTTGATATTAGTAATAATGGAAAAACTCCCATTCAGGCGCAAAAGCCCACAAGGTCTCTGAGCTCTGAGGGGATTGGTTTTAAAGGTCCATGTTCATGTTGCTTTGCCTCTAAAAAAAACATTACTCTATCACTTTTACTTCCAGGAACTGCCAAGATGCAAAAAAAAAGACAAACTTCGTTTTCTGAAATAGCTAACTGCTAGATTAGCTATCAGCAGAGAAAACAGCTGTAAACCCAGCAGAGACCTCTCCCTAGTGCACCTACCTACCCGTCCCACAACACTGTTAAGTGCAGTTTCTGTTCAGCAGAGGGCAGCAGAGTGTGAAGTTGGTCAAGTTTTTACCTACAAAGTCACTGAAACCCACTTTTAAAGTGTAGTGTGATGAATTGTCCATCTTTGACCTAAAAGGCCCTGCTCTGTTTGCTCTGCCCAAGCAAAACCATAAGTTTCTGACACAAGCCTAATCTACAAGATTTGGGCCAAGGCCACTCATGCTCTGTGCTCTTATCTTAACTGTTGCTTTCCCGGAGAGCACAAGAAAGAAGAAAGAAGACCAAGAACTCTATTAAATAATAATTAAATAACGTCTGTTAGTCCAAATAATCATGTGAAGCTAATGTTCAATCAATCTGTGAAATAAGAATAATTACTTGATATTATAATACTATGATAGTATTTTATTAAGTAATATAACTTTAAATATTTACACTAGACTGATCATACGTAATGCTAAAGTCACGTGACACATTTCCTTTTTCTGATCCAATCAGAACCTTCTAGATCTGACGCGAGGCGTGGTTTTGTTGGTGCTTGGTAAATCCCCTTTGGTTGGCAAATTCTGATTCGACCATAAATCAAAACATCCAAATTATAAAACTATGCCTCACATCATCTTAACTTGAGTTCTAGAGAAGTTGTCGGAGTGGCCAATCCGTAACTTTCCTCTTAAAGCCGAAAGAACCTAACGACAAGCTGGATTAAATCTGTTGCATGTTCCACCTGCTGCAACGGTTCCTTCAGAATAAAAGCTGAACCATCACGACCCTTCAGGGTCTCGCTGATGCCAATAAACTGTCGTGACCTGGGAGTAGCTCAAGACTGGAAGGGTCGGCAACCGCTGCATATCTACAGGCTTTGGTTCCAGACAAGGTCCAAGCTGGACCTCAACACCTCCTGATCTAAACGGGGACTTCCGTTGGGGTACGTAGACCGACAGATGGCGTCTCAATGTGTGTTATAATCTCCAACCCAAGCTTAGAGCGAAACACCATTTCACTCCCATCAGAACTGATCGTTTCTCCGGATTTGCTGGTTCTGAACATATTCACACACACACACCATCCTCAGTCTTACTGCACCTTAGTTACACCATACACATAGTGTTTAAAGACAGTCTTGTTTAAATTGTTTGGAAATAAATCTTTTAACCTTTTAAACCTGACTCTCTCTCTTTCTTGGAGTTGATACGAAGTGTTGCTCAATCCCTACAATAAAAAGATCCGATCTTCTGGTTAAATTTACTCAAAGATCCATTAAGGTGATATTTCATATTTTATGATATTTCACATTCTATGGTTTCTAATTAAATGTAACGACGTGTTCATTACAAAATGAATATCTTAAAGTGTTAAAAACCTTTTTAGTGTTGCTTTAATACTCTGTTTTAAGTATTTCTTTGTGTACCTGCGGAGTGGTAATGATGACTGCTCCATCTACAGGGGTGGAGCTCAGATACTGAACAATTGAAAGATGTTCATCTGAGGTACCAGGTGGAGTGTCCACAATGAGGTAATCCAGCTCCCCCCAGTCCACATCCTTTAAGAACTGCTTAATCATCCCTGATCGGAGACAAATACGCAAGAGTTGTAGTTTAATTAAACGTGGAAGCCCTAAAACGGGTGTGATGCACAAACCATTTTTCTTGGGTCCTCTCCAGATCACTGCATCGTCCGGACTACTGAGCAGGAAGCCAATGGACATCACAGCCAGGTTGTCATCGACATACTATAACACACACACACGATGAAAGAAAAATACATACTTCCTGCTTAAAACGTAATGAATTTTGTCCTAAAGAGTTGTAAAAAAAGATTAGCTCGATTTGAAAGAACTCACCACAGGAGACCACCCAGAGCCACTCTGGTGAACCTAAACGTGAAAGAGCCGATGACACACCTGCTAGTTAACACGGAACAAGTATGGCTTTTGTACCTGAGACAACATGGCTGTCCACATGTGAGAGAATGGGCATGAAAATAGGGATGTCCCGATACAACTTTTTCACTTCCGATACGATACCGATATTGCAGCCTTCAGTATTGACTGATACCAATCTGATACGATATCAGCACAAATCATACATACTTTTATCTATTTCGCAGTGTGGAATGCATGAAAGGCTTGATCAAGTGATATGACTCAATCAGAGAACAAGAACCAATAACAGTAAGTATGAAAAAAAATGAAACTTTCTCTTAACCATTGGTTGCCAAAATGTGAACCTTAACGGACCGCTTATATCGGGATTTTTGATGCCGTCCGATATAATCCAATACACCATTTTTGGGCCGATATCAAATTACTTCCAATATCGATACTGGAACGGGACATCCCTAATGGAAAATATCTCAAACATTTGATTATCGGCTAGATTTACAGTGGGGCAAAAAAGTATTTAGTCAGCCACTGATTGTGCAAGTTCTCCCACTTAAAATGATGACAGAGGTCAGTAATTTTCATCATAGGTACACTTCAACTGTGAGAGACAGAATGTGAAAAAAAATCCATGAATTCACATGGCAGGATTTTTAAAGAATTTATTTGTAAATCAGGGTGGAAAATAAGTATTTGGTCAATAACAAAAATTCATCTCAATACTTTGTAAGATAACCTTTGTTGGCAATAACAGAGGTCAAATGATTACTATAGGTCTTTACCAGGTTTGCACACACAGTAGCTGGTATTTTGGCCCATTCCTCCATGCAGATCTTCTCGAGAGCAGTGATGTTTTGGGGCTGTCGCCGAGCAACACGGACTTTCAACTCCCTCCACAGATTTTCTATGGGGTTGAGGTCTGGAGACTGGCTAGGCCACTCCAGGACTTTCAAACGGAGCCACTCCTTTGTTGCCGGGGCGGTGTGTTTGGGATCACTGTCATGTTGGAAGACCCAGCCACGTTTCATCTTCAAAGCTCTCACTGATGGAAGGAGGTTTTGGCTCAGAATCTCACGATACATGGCCCCATTCATTCTGTCCTTAACACGGATCAGTCGTCCTGTCCCCTTAGCAGAAAAACAGCCCCAAAGCATGATGTTCCCACCCCCATGCTTCACAGTAGGTATGGTGTTCTTGGGATGCAACTCAGTATTCTTCTTCCTCCAAACACGACGAGTTGAGTTTATACCAAAAAGTTCTACTTTGGTTTCATCTGACCACATGACATTCTCCCAATCCTCTGCTGTATCATCCATGTGCTCTCTGGCAAACTTCAGACGGGCCTGGACATGCACTGGCTTCAGCAGCGGAACACGTCTGGCACTGCAGGATTTGATTCCCTGCCGTTGTAGTGTGTTACTGATGGTGTCCTTTGTTACTGTGGTCCTAGCTCTCTGCAGGTCATTCACCAGGTCCCCCCGTGTGGTTCTGGGATTCTTGCTCACCGTTCTCATGATCATTTTGACCCCACGGGATGAGATCTTGCGTGGAGCCCCAGATTGAGGAAGATTATCAGTGGTCTTGTATGTCTTCCATTTTCTGATAATTGCTCCCACAGTTGATTTTTTTTCACACCAAGCTGCTTGCCTATTGTAGATTCACTCTTCCCAGTCTGGTGCAGGTCTACAATTCTTTTCCTGGTGTCCTTCGAAAGCTCTTTGGTCTTGGCCATAGTGGAGTTTGGAGTCTGACTGTTTGAGGCTGTGGACAGGTGTCTTTTATACAGATAATGAGTTCAAACAGGTGCCATTAATACAGGTAACGAGTGGAGGACAGAAGAGCTTCTTAAAGAAGACGTTACAGGTCTGTGAGAGCCAGAGATTTTCCTTGTTTGAAGTGACCAAATACTTATTTTCCACCCTGATTTACAAATAAATTCTTTAAAAATCCTGCCATGTGAATTCATGGATTTTTTTCACATTCTGTCTCTCACAGCTGAAGTGTACCTATGATGAAAATTACTGACCTCTGTCATCATTTTAAGTGGGAGAACTTGCACAATCGGTGGCTGACTAAATACTTTTTTGCCCCACTGTATCTATAAAACCTATAATTATGTGTTGTTATTGAAAGAATGCAAATGAAACATTTTCAAAGGTTATTTCTCTGCAAAACATACTTGTTCTCCCTCCAAGCCCATGATCCTGGGAATTGACGGACCACAGATATCTACATCTAGCAAAGCAACCTAAAGATGAGGAGAAAGAAATCAGGAAAGCAAACACTTAGTCGTCTAATGGAGTCGGGGAATAACAGAGTTAAATAAGATTTGGTTGAGTTGACCAACTTACAAAAGTAACGGCTTAACAGTTTAATAACTTAACACATAACTAGATTAACCATTCTCTTACAATTGCTAGTAGCGGTTGTTATTATTTGTGTATACATTGTTTATATATTTTAAGTACATAGCCTGTCAGAGTGCTTCAAACTGTAACTGAGTGTCTCTTTGTGCTGGCCTTTATGCTTTAGTGGTCATTTGAGGGGTTTAGCTCGGCCTACTTTACCAGACACTGGGCAGCAAATGACCTACTACATCTTTTTTACTGCAGCTTGTGCAGCTGTACTTGATACACCTATCTCCTTAAGGGTGAGCTGGTACAACCCGACCCTCATCAGTCTCCTTCTGCATCCCACTCCTGCCTAACAGACCATTTCTATACTGATTACAACTGAATTATTCAGTCTGAGAACCTAGACAGGACAGTAAGGAGATTTCTGACAAATATGGTCCAATGGTCGACAATGTCAAAAGCTGAAAAGAGATCTAACAAAGGCAGTACAGAACATTTCCCTGGATTTTTCTGTATCAAATATCATTTAAGACTCTACAAAAAGCCATTTTCGCTTACCGCGATTGTATATGGTTAAAAAAAATGGCACCTATACTTCAGCTTCCCTTTTCTAAGAAAAAAAAGAAAACTCAGATTGATAATCTAGTTGGGATATATCGATATGTCTGACACAAATGGGGTCAGGGGTTAGATTAGAGGTGGGGCTGTGACATCTATGTTTCCAAAAGGTTTTGTTTTTGGTTGTCTACACAAGCTTTTCTGCATGCACAGAGCCCCATTGCCATGTGGACGGCCCCCAAGGACTGGATCAAATATACCAGGGTTAATGTTCTCCAAGCGTGTCAAATGTCACACTCTATTTTTGCCTGGTTTTCTATATTAAAGTGTATGAAAATATAACTGAAGGCATTATATGTATAACGAGTACTTTTAAACATGCAAACATTTTCAAACTTTGTCATTTCCAATTTGAGCTTGACCTCAGCGGGGATTCTTTCTAGCTAGGGTTGGCTTTGCAGTAACATTTCTTTCCCATGTGTTTGCTATAACAGAAGTCATTTTGGGAGTCATCGATATTTTGCTGACCTCATACTTCAGCACACATAAAGGTTAGTGGAAGGAGCTTCAGTGGAAACCAGGATGAGAAAGGAACTGGGGCTGTGGCATGACCTGCTCTGGTGGGTTTGCTTCAGGCCTCCAGCTCTTTCAACACGCTTTTTAGTAGAGATGTGTTTTGACGGTCTTTTTCATGAGGCTTTTACAAACAGCTTTTGGTTGGCCAACACCTCAAGTATGTAGTGGGCTGAGCCTGTTGATACAGACAACCTTTAATTTAACAGTCTCGCCATATTCATATTAGTCAACAGTTTGTTACAAACGTTTTTCTGGGCGGAGTTTTCTAGTTTTGTCCATTAAGTGGAACAAGATGGCTTTTGTGGGAGGCCTGACATTTATTCTGGTCCCTTGGTTTAAAGCACAACTAGAATGGGTCGTTTTCTCTTTCCATTTTGTTCTGTTTAGCATCAAGGGTCTTTAGCACATTTTGGCAAACACAGAGAAACACTAAGAAGTGTTCAGTTCTGTTTCGGAGTAGCTACTGTACACAAAAGCACAAAAACATTAAATAATTATCTAAAATTGAGGTTTTAGAAAACTGAAGGGACCTACAGACAAAGACATTTAAAGTCTCTGGCTATATTATCCACAGGAATGTCTTGTTTACGAGTGAGGGAAAAATGGAGCGTGAGATCGTGCTGAGAGCTAAGCCAGAAGGCGATGCTCTCGATTTACCGGTCGATCTACGTTCCTACCCTCACCTATGGTAATGAGCTTTGGGTAGTGACCGAAAGAACGAGATCACGGATACAAGCGTCCGAAAAGAATTTTCTCCGCAGGGTGGCTGGGTTCTCACTTAGAGATAGGGTGAGAAGCTTGGTCATCCGGGAGGGGCTCGGAGTAGAGCCACCGCTCCTCCACATTGAGAGGAGCCAGATGACGTGGCTCGGGCATCTCGTCAGGATGCCTTCTGGACACCTCCCTGGTGAGGTGTTCTGGGCACGTCCAACCGGGAGGAGGCCTAAAGGAAGACCAAGGACAAGGTGGTGGGACTATGGCCTAGTCCACACGTAGCCGGGTTTTTTTAAAACGAATATCCGCCCCTCCAAAAACTCGCATCCACACCACCACGCGTTTTAAAATAAAACTCTGTCCACACGTACCCGGATAAATACGTTGTTAAGGACATGCCATATTGGTGGTCTTCCACAAGGAGCAGTAATTCCGCTTGCAAAAACAAACAAGCAAAAAGCGCTTGGCCAATTGATGGATCGGGTAGTGACAGAGCGCAGCTCTGAGGGCTTCCATGATGCCGGCTAGTGTAAACACAGGTCGCACACGTGATGTCAGCATTTTTTTGTTGCGGAAGGTGACGTTGCGGACCTTAAAACTCCGGTTTTGTCCGTCCACACGCAGACACCCAAAACGGAGAAAACGCAGATCTTCACTTTGGCCGGAGTTTTTAAAAAGATCCGTTTTCGTGTGAAAAAAACTCAGTTTTCGTGTGGATGACAGGCCAAAACGTAGAAAAATATCTACGTTTTGGCAGATCCCCGGCTACGTGTGGACAGGGCCTTAGCCTCTCGCCTGGCCAGGCAACTCCTTGAAATTTCCCCGGAAGAGGTGACCCAAGTGGCTGGGAAGAGGGAAGTCTGGGTCTCACAACTAAGGCTACTGCCCCTGAGACCCGACTCTGGATAAGCAGAAGAAAATGGATGGATCAACAATTGGGTTTGTTTCAAGGCTGCATTGTGGCTTTGTTAATAGAACAGTTGCCTGACTGTGAGAGAGTTGCAGGTTCAAATCCCACCTGCAGGCTTTCTACATTCTTCTGCAAACATGTGCTTTCTCCAGGTACTCCAGGTACCTTACACAAACTGAAATCATCCATGTTAGGTTGATTGGAGACTCTAAATTGTCCTTAGGTGTAGGAGAGGGAGTATGTGAGTGGCTGTTTGTCTCTGTGTGTCCCTCTATTAGACAAGAGACCTGTCCGAGATGTCCCCACCTCTAGTCTAATTACTGCTAAAGATACACTCACCAGTTCCCCGCAACCCTAGTGTAGACTAAGATGATGTATAGAAGATGATGAGCGGGTGATTCTTGTTTGTATTCTAACCCATACTAAAGCTTTCTGGCTAGGTTTTGGTTAACCATTGGTATTCTGTGATGACTTAAACATTACTAGTTTTTCCTTTAAACCAATAGATTTCTATATTAAGGTTTTAATTGTCACACTTTTTACACAGTCAACATAGACACTTGTGAACCATTGGCATAATTGTTTCACATCTACAGTGACCCCTGGTAAAAATAAATTAAAGAAGACATGTAGACATTAGTACATTTGAATGGTCAAGTTATCCTGGGTTGTTATGGCTGTCACTGTTTGGCTCAACTTGCTCCCTTTGAACAAAAATCACAAACCAATCTATGTCAAAGAAAGTAAAAATGTTATCAGGAGAGGGAGAATGTTATGTAATTTAGCTCTTTTCCTATTTAACCATTGTGTGCCTTATGGGTGACTGGAATGGTTTGCCTGGACAAACTTACTCCCAACAGGACAGAAAAGAGTTTTATACACCATACTGCTAAGAGTATTGGGTCATCCCACCAAATCTAGACTTTCAGTTGTTCCCACAAAGACATGAGTGAGCGAGTTTGATATGGAGGACCTTGACTGATCTACACAGAGACCCAACCTCATCCTTATGGAACACCTTTGAGATTTTATATATATATATATATATATATATATATATATATATATATATATATATATATATAATTTTTTATATCTGAAAGTTTTATTCTAGTTTTTTTTTTATTCTATTTTTATTCTATTCTATTTTTATTCTATTTTTCATTAGTACCGAAGCAAGTTCCTAGTTTGTGAATTGTTTGTGAATTGTTTGTTCACTGACAATGGCAATAACCTGATTCTGATTCTGGTATATATATATATATATATATATATATATATATATATATATATATATATATATATATCCATGCCCTGATGTGGGGCTGGGGGGGTGCGTCGACATGGTCGGGACATAGAAGGGAGTGCGCGGCTAAATAAGTTTGGGAACCACTGCTGTAGAGACACTGATGCCTGTCAGTACCTATGTGCAATCTGCTGGGTTCCTTTTACAGGAAACTTTTGCCTTGAGATGACTCTTGTTGTGGCTTGGCGCTATATAAATAAACTGAACTGAATTGAATTCAAACATGTTTATATAAAAACGTAATTTTCCATTCATTTAATCCAATAACAAGCCACCTGAGACAACCTGGCACGATGGGTCATAACAGAAAAGAGACACACCATGTAAAAGTTACCAAAATAACACCTAAAGCAGCTGGTCTTAACATTTTGTCAAAGGTAGATTTTGGTAGGCTTTATAGAACAATACCATTCCCCCCTTTACCACAAAAATAAAAATGTATGTACCATACAAACAGTTATTGATTACCTCTTTTGTACTGTCGCTTGCCAGGGCATGGGCCAGGTGAGCGCTGAAGGTGCTCTTCCCTACTCCTCCTTTTCCTGACAAAACCAGGATCTTGTGCTTGACAGATGACAGTTTTTCACCTATTTCTGCAATAGCTGATATCAGACAGAAGGAAGATGTGAAAGGTGGGGAGAAGTTTGAGTTCCATTTTCAAACCTTACGTATATTTGACAAATAAGATTACGATCAAGCTTTACCGGGGTCGGGGGCCTTTGTGGCTCCGGAGGCGCAGAGGTTCTGGTTGGGACAGCCCTGACATGAAGCAGACTTTCCTGCTTGCTCACTTGCCGTACCTGGGCATTCTAAAAAGCAAACAAAAACTCAGTTTATTCTAAAATACTGGAGAGGACAGGAAGTCTGGAAATAGTGATGGGTCGAGGAACACTGGTCCATCGGTGCATGCATCTACCTCATAGAGCGAGACCCTGTGTTGTTGCACGTATTGTTTAAGAAGTAGTCACAAGACCGACACGGCCGTTGTTTAGCCTGTCACTGAAATATAAAACCCTGTTTAAATGGGGGAGCGTTTCCATCTGTCAATGGGATGAGTTCCTGCCAAAAGTTCACCTTTTGGACCAAAATTATTCCACTGTTCAGCCAATGTCACATTATGGAGGCCGAAATAAAAAAAGAGGGTGACCCATGTGGGATCATTTTGTTCTTATATCGGCAAATACGCAGATTTTTTTATTTCCTTGTTTTATCCTGATCCTCTCAGCTTCTGCTTGATCCATCAGAATTTCAGTGCATTTCTGAATTAATCTTTTTAAAGTTTAAATCATTTTGACTATTTTCTGCAGGCTGAATGTCACTTTTGTTCAATTGAACTTTCATATATTAAAGTTGTGGTTCACTCGTTTAATCAATACATTTGCAGTGGTCTCTAGTAGGAATGAATGCCTTGTAAGTTGTACTCTGGGGGGACAAAAGCACCAGTTTCAGGAACTAAAAGTGAGCTGCATCAGAGCTGAGCTTCAGACGGCAGGTTTTGGGCTCTTATTTGATATTTGAACATTTGACCTCTGACTGGCAAACAGCAACGCAACTCTACCACAGACTCGGTTTACTTTGCAACGTTGATGTATAATCTCCACAAATAACACAAGCCTGAAGGAGTTCTGCTGTGTGGTGGAGTTGCTAATGGTTAGCTTCTACTAGCTGAGACGTTCTCTGCTGTTTCCTGGATGCTAAACCAACAACAGTCTTCTGCGTTGAGAGTCAAGATGGTTGAGTCCATCATACCATAACAAGTTTATTTATAAAGCACATTTAAAAACAGCATGACGGCTGACCAAAGTGCTGTACAGTAGTTAAAAGGAAAAACCCCAACATAAAAACAAGATAAAGATCATATAAGAGATAAAAGGGATAACCTAAAAATTTAAAAGAAACATACTAGAGTAAAAACAAAACCAAAAAAAAAACAAAGTCACAATAAAAACATACAAACAATAAAAGCTTGGTCATTGATCAAAAGCTAAATGATAGAAGTAGGCCTTCAGTACAGACTTGAATCGACGCAGTGACGGAGCCTGCCAAACACCAAGGGGGAGAGCATTCCAAAGTTTAGGGGCAGTGAACGCAAAGGCCCGCTCCCCACGAGATTTATACTTCATTTTTGGGATGCACAAAAGCAAGTGATCTGCTGATCTTAGGGTTCTGGGTGGAACATAAGGCTTAAGCAGTTCTGACAGATAAGCAGGGGCTTGACCATTCAGGGAATTGTAAACAAAGGTTAAAACCTCAAACTGGACACGATATTTAACTGGCAGCCAGTGCAAGCGTGCAAGGACAGGTGAACTGTGACAGCGTCTAGAGGTGTTTGTCAGGAATCTAGCCGCTGCATTCTGTACTCTCTGAAGATGCTCGATTGCTGAGACACTGACACCAATAAGTAGTGAGTTGGCATAGTCTAAACGTGAGGTGACAAAGGCGTGAACAACAGACTCCAGCTGTGATCGTTTCACTGTTGACTTTAAACGTGAGATGTGACGTAGTTGAAAAAAACAAGACCTGACTTTAGCGTTAATTTGTAAACTCACTGACAGATCAGTCAAGTTTCACTCCCGGACTGGTTACTCAACGCTAAGAGGCAGTGTGACGAAGATCTGTCAGGTTTTTCTAATCCTAGAGTTTCACCGTCAATTTTCTATCAGAAGCTAATGTAGGAGATTATTTTCCTATTCGGCCTGCATGAAATTTTCAGAGACTCACTATAATTTGGGCAGCAGCAGCTCAACAGGTTGAGCGGGTTGTCCAGTAATCGGAAGGTTGCAGGTTCGATCCCGGCTCTGGACAGAGAATTCTGCTGTCGTGTCCTTGGGCAAGAAACTTAACCCACCTTGCCTGCTGGTGGTGGTCGGAGGGACCGGTGGTGCCTGTGCTCGGCAGCCTCGCCTCTGTCAGTGCGCCCCCAGGGCAGCTGTGGCTACATCAGAGCTCATCACCATCAGTGTGTGAATGTGTGTGTGAATGGATGAATGATACACTGTAGCGTAAAGCATTTTGGAGTCCTTACTCTGAGAGGCGCTGTACAAGTGCGGGTCATTTATCAATATCAAAAATTATTTTAAAATGTTTCTTTGGTGAACCTTTAATACAACCGGATATTCTGTGCTTAAGACATCACAGAGAAATGCACGAAAAGTTAAAAAACAGCCTGCTTCAAAGACAAGTTCATAAGCAACACAACAACAGTTTCACTTTTTCACAAGTTGAAACACACATTCACATTACTGAACATTTTAAATGGGTCAAATATTATTTAAACTGGGGTTAAGGCACTAAACAAAGCAATGTACACTACTGGATACAATTACTTAAACAATTCAATAGGTCATTATGTCAGCTGCCTGCACTGATGTTTAAGACCCAGCAAGTGTCAGTAGACCAACACAGTGACTCAGTAATGATAGGATTGCCACTGTTCACTGATCTTCATTATTTTATAGAACTTTCATACTAACATGTCCCTTCAGGTTGCAGCTATCAAAGCAGACAAGACAAACCACGAGGTAGCACAAGATTACCTTCAGACAAATATAATGATTACTGAACTCAGTCCCTCCAGGTTATTTATCATATTTATAAGTGGGACCAAAAAAATCTAGGAGAAATTCACTTTCCCAGCTCTGTGAAACAAATGTTAAACAAAACTAAGACTAAAAAAAAAGTTGAGATCTGTCACCACGACTGAATTTCTTCAGGTCATTTTAGTGTTTCACCAGAGGAATTATTTAGTTCAGCATTTAATCATTCATTATGTGACAAACTCAAAAGTCCTTCATTAAAGGTCTGATCGTGCTTCCGCATTCAGTCTTGTTTCTTTTATTTAAAACATTCTAATAAAACCTACAATTAAAAAAAATCCTCTGGGTTTAAATTGACTTCTGCGGTCACTTCTAGTCATGGTTTAGTTAATATTTCTTACGTTTTCTAACTTTATCGGTTATTTAAATTACCTAATTTATAAAAACTAGTGAGTGACGCAGTATTTACAGTCTAGTAGTAAGAGAGTAAAGTGGTACACTAGCAATAATGTCATGATAATAAATGTAAAACTATATAAAACAAACTGAATTAAAAGTATTTGCTGAAACGAACCAAACACAACGGTAGCCGACATAGTTTTTAAAAAGTATAAATAACAAAACTTACGTTCAGGAGCATTTTCTGGTATGTCGGCCATTCTTCCGCCTGTGTCCGTTTGAGTTAGTCTTCCCCTTCAAGGGTTCCGCATTTCTTCTTCGTTTTTGCAAGCAATCGCCAAAGTTTTACTACTGCCACCTCTTGACCTAGACTTCTATTACTAAAAAGAAATGTATCCAGTAACTCTCAAAAAAAAATTTAAAAATAAAATAACGAAAAATGTCCTCTCTCCCAACAGCTTAGGTGCTGTTGTTTTGCTGAGAAGAAGAAATAGAATATCAAGACAAGTTGATATGAGCGCTCACCCCGAGACCCTGCCAAGTCATGCCAACAGTATGTGTGGCAAGGACAAGGCATACAGGTGAGGGCTCAAGCGGGATTCGATCGCCAGACTCCCGGGTGAGAGTCATGAGCGCTAACCAGTCAGCCAAAGGGACAATATGCCAAGGCATATTCAATGGGTCACAGTGGCAGGATACACACGCTGCCGCAAGATGACACGCAAATTCGTGAAGCGTTCCTCATTTTTTTAAAAACCAACTGGTATGACGCAGTTAGGGGCGTGTCCCGCTGCTCAGTTCCAACATTTGACCAATCAAATAACTGGGTTGTTCCAGTTTTGAGAAGCACGTGCTTTCAGCATCTAATCAGCGAGAGCTGGATTGTTTCAACTCTGAAATAGATCCTCTTTCACTCCGAGCTTGCGTTCCTCCGCTACTGAACTGACTGAGACGTACAATTGTTACTTAAAAAACAATTAGACTTTTAACATGTTAAAAAAAACAGTTTGTGAATAAACAATTAGACTTTTAACATGTTAAAAAAACAGTTTGTTGTCTTACGAGAGATGTTTAAGATATAGTAGTATTTTCTTCTGGCCTAATGAGGAGGAGAGTAGTGTGAAATGATCTTACACCACATCCCCAGTTGGCACAAAGTTCTCTATTTTCTGTATTCTGCGTGTAAAAGCATGTTTTTAACTGGTATTTCCCTGTTTATGTTCTTTGTTTAATGTTATATGTTATACTGATATGCTCATTGGGAAAATTATTCCACAATTGTACATCTGATGCCTGTACAGTACTCTCACCATTCCTTTTCACTCTGTAGACTTCCAGAACAAGTCAGAGACCTGTCATCTGCAGAAAGACTCAGACGACTCTGCAGTCTGTGGAGTCGAAGAAGAAACCCAATATTGAACCTGCTGAACTCAAACATATTTGTGATGTTCTCTAACGTGTAATAAATGTGGCTTGTATAAAATCCACTCCACCGCCAGCAGCATAGTTTCTCCTCACACGTGTGACAAGAGGTTTTCGCTCCACGTTTGCTGGCTGTTTACCTGTGAACCACACCTGGTTTCTTGTTGGGATTTTTGTCCTGTCACACTATTTCTAACCTTCTTCGTCCTCAGTGGTTTATTAATTTCCTCACCCAAGCTCCTGTTTTCCTGTAAACTCCTCCAAAGGTGTCCTTCCTATCCACACCTGAAAAGGACGGGAGATTGGATGTGTCGCGGAGCTGAGGGACCAAGACAGAAAAACTGTCTTCACTTTTTTGGATTTTTCTTTTTAAAGACTTTTTGAGATATTTTCTTTTATTTCATATATATATATATATATATATATATATATATATATATATATATATATATATATATATATATATATATATATATATATATATGGACACAGATACATTTATTACATATGTTTTATAACATCACAAATATATTTCAACATAGATGCATTTTTTTATATATATGTTCTATAATTTTACATGTGTATTATCACAAATATATTTCACAGCTCAGTGGTTCTTCATCACAATTATAATTAAATTTAAAGTGGTAATTGTGAAAAATTATTTACATAATAATAAGTGTTATTATGTCGATTTCGCATACATTTCCACTTTTGTATTCGGACGAGCGGGAATCGAACCTACGCACTTCGACTCCCGGACAAAATAGTTTAAAAAAAACAACAACAAGGAGAAGCGCCGAGATTGGGGCCGGGCTAAATGTGGGCGGGGTCAAACGTTTAGAGGTGGGCGGAGACAACTATTTGACTCCTGCCCCTCTCTCAATGGAACAACGAAACCGCTATGCTGTGTGTGTGCAGTGCTGTAGCCGGGACAGAGGGAAGTAGCTGCCTAAATGGAGGTAAGCTGAAGTTCATCAAAATATTCCAAACAAGTGATGACACCAAGAGAAGCATTAGTATTAATAAAGGCTATTTTTAGACATTTATTTCAATTTTGTGTCTTTACTGTTTGCACTGTTGCTTTTATACAATAGAAATACTGCAAGAAATTAGGGTAATAAAATTAACAATAATAAAAAAACGTCTTAAAATTAAACTAAAATATAGGCAACAAAAATTATTGTTAAGGTTCTAATGTCAAACCAGAGATCCGGTTATATTTTTAACCATTTGTTTAAAAATATAACCGATCTTCTACCAAGTGCCCACCCAGTGTTTTGTCAAAATATATTGGTAAAGATATATAGATAAATAAATGAAAACTAGTTCAATAATTTTATTTTATTTATTTACTTTTTTGCTGATAGTGCCGTGAAATAGGTATTAATTTTCTATATGGCTTTAGAAAGATCTTAAACAGACTTAAATTTAAGTTGAAGAAACCTGTAGGAACACTTTCATAGCTTTGGGGAGATATGTTGTGTGGTCATGATTACTTTTAGGTGGAAAATATTTTTTTACAGGGGGAAATATGTTAGTTTTTTAAGCTTTTTATGTTCGCATCTGAGTTCTACACCTGATGGGCTTTATTATTATGGTTAGAGTGCTAATCTGATATGTGTAATTATATAAACCTTATATAAATGTTTTTGGAGTTTCTGTGATATAGCAGACCGTATTGAGATGATTGCAGTGAAGCAAAAGCTTGTTCATCAGCCATCAATTGAAATCAGCTGTGCTGAAGCAGGGAAAACCTGAAAAATGCAGGATAGTGTGACTTGAGGACCAGGGATGAAAAACACTGGATTAGAGATTCTGAAAGCTTACATCTGAGTAATGTGTAGAACATTGATGTTGGTCTTGTTGCGATTGTACATGTAAGTATTCATGACATGAAATGTTGTTGGTAAAATGAAAAATGTACTTCATATGTAATGTAATACATTGTTTGTTGTGAATTTCTTTTTTCAAAGGAAAACATGCGGCAAATTAGGAGGTGGTGGTGTCTTGTTCTGCTGCAACACTTCCCCATGCCGTAAGTGCCCTCCATGATCACACATTCTTTTATCAGATATAAAAAAAACGTTTTGCTCAGTCAACAGAATAACATGAATGTTTTCATAGTGAATGAATGTTGTCATTGCATCACCAAGGTCTGAGGAAGACAGAGTGCAGGCACGAAAAAGACGGAGAGAAGCAACAGTAAAACAGGTGAGAGACAATTTGATTAATTCTTGTAGTTTAACTGTTGCTTGCAGACTAAAGCATAGTTCCTTCACTTATTTCAGGGCCTGGAAGTGGTCCCTCCTAAGAAGTCCTGCCTTACTGAATTAGTCTGTGCAGCATCAGGTATTGTTCAAACAAGTATTATTGTACACAACCCCCAAGGTTGTCGAAATGGGATGTGGGAAGATTCAAGATTCAACCTTTTGTCATATGCACAGCTAGAAAAACACGCTTTCTGCACAATGAAATTCTTTCTTTGCCAAGATTAGAAAATTAAGACTGTTCCAGACAGAGCACTTTTTTTTTTCAAAGCAAGTTTTTCAGTCATTTCTCTATTTTCATTAAACCAGAATACTAAGCAACTGATCTTTTTTACAACTTGCATTGTTAATATGCTTTTTATGAACCACAGTCTTTTTCCTTTCTAGCAGAGGCTGAGAACTTGCTGGAACTGGACACAGGGAACAGAGTATGTTTTATATTGTCGGCTTTTCTTGTGTCATTGTTTCTTCTCCAACCTCTATTTTAATTAGAGGTGTCAAATAATTCCATTACTTGCAATTTTTACAGCCATGATTAACGTGTTATATATTTTAATTATGTTAATCATTTTTAATCTACTGCTTCTTTATGGGACTTACTTTTAAATAAACCAATTTCTTTACTTTTACGCTTCTTGCTGGTGTTCTTGAAGGGTTGATGTAAACTCATAAGTTGAATGGTTGACGTTACAGTGACAAGACTGGTGAGAGATCAGCTGCAGCAGTGTTTATTTCAGTGACCTTGTTATCTTTACTCTGTTTTTTTTTCACCCTTCTTGCAACTTTTTCCAAATTTATTGTTACCATTTGGATGTAATGGGTGTGTCACTGAGCATCAAGGCTGCTGACAGCTTCTCTCCCGTATCAGACGCACATCCGTGCTGCAGTTTGGAAAGACCACAGCATCAGCTGTTTGGTTAGCTGTTAGCATTGAAAATAAGGTTTATATTATGTAGTTATTAGATTAAATTAAAAGGTTAGATTATTTTCAGATCATACATAATTAATGTAAAATATGTTTTTAATCTCTTGACAGCAGTAATTTTAATATTGTCTTTATTTTTGATTAGGAGAATTCTCTGCTTGAGGACACCTTTGAGGCAGCAAGGTGGTGTACCACAAGGTCCTTCAAAGGAAGCCTTTCCCTTCACCAGGTCATCACCATGGACAGGGAAGCTTGCCGGAGGGCAGTGGAGAGGTTATGCTTCTGTGATGGCCTGGATGAACAGGAGATGAACGATTGCAGGGAACCGTTCCTGTTCGTGTTTAGCTTTCAGTCAGACTATGAGGAGTTCTGCAGAGAAATTGAGGGAAAAAAGGAAGATGAAGGTGTTTTCTGGTTTTGAAATGCCATAGTACAGCGGTGTCACAGTTTTTGCATTCTTTTTCCTCCTCACATTGTTTTTTTGGAGGTTCTCTTGTTTTTTTGTGTGCTTTTTGGTTCATTTGTACTTTTTTTTTATTCCTGTGTTGGCTGTTTGCTCTATTAAATTTACCTTTTTTGAAAAATTTAGTCTGCATTCTTGTGTGTCTCACACAATGTCTCACCACCCCGCCTCAAACCCTGGCGTGTTTTAAGAAGTATCAACACAATTTAAGTCTCTGGTCCTCTTAATGTAGCTGATATAACAGAGTGT